GGGGTGGGGGTGGCGGGGCCTGGGCACTCACGTATGCACTTGGCTCTGGCTTGAGCAGAAGATGAAGGGGCCCGAGGTCATGGCCTTCATCGAGCAGGGCAAGCGGATGGAGTGCCCACCAGAGTGTCCGCCCGAAATGTATGCACTTATGACCGACTGCTGGATCTACAAGTGAGTGCCAGTGGGCGGGAGGGACACTGCTCAACTGACACCTGGGGCAGGAGGTCTTAGTGCCCAGTCACTCAGCCCAACAAAACTCCACTGGGTGTCATCCCACCCAAAGACCCACCAGTTCACTGCCCTTCCAACACTCAACTGTTCTGCGTCTGTGCTCAACCCTCCAACACTCACCCTGCTCCAGCGGGCCAACGCCTCACCACCCTATCTGTGGACAGACACCCAGTGCTCCAGCTTCTAAACCCCAAGCCCCCACCGGACAACATTCAACACATTGATACCACAATACTCAAACGGGTTACTACTCTGTTACCCAGAATAGGGTACCAATTTTTAGGCACAGGATAACACTCCAGCATCTAATCCCTCAGTTCCCCACCAGCCAACATTAAACACCTAATTACCCAAACAGGCCAATGCTGAAGTACACAAACACTCAGTGTATTCAAACCCCACCTCTGTCTGGTTAAAGCGTAACACCCCAACTCCTAACACCATCAATATCCCAACTTCCCATCAGACAACAGGCAGCACAGACCCAAGGAAGCTGTCACCCTACACTGATCGTGCAACGTGTGTGCATTCCAGCATCTGCTACCTTTCCCAGTCCACCCAACACGCATTACTCCACTGGCCAACACCTGTGACAGTGATACCCAGACACCGACGCAATCCAATAAATAGACACCCTACTTAAGATAAATAAATAGCAGGTGATCAGCCTTCCCTACTCAAACATGTGAACTACCTCACAAGAAACGCCTAATACAGTGCATGGATCCTCCACACATGGTACCATTAGTACCCCAACCCTCACCACCCAACCACCCTCAGTACCCCAACTTTCAGTTCCATTGTGGGCAGCATACTTTGCACACTTATAAGCCTGCACCTAGTACCCATATACCCTGACCCTGGGCACATCCATGCACATGCTCTACTGAGCATTCAGTAGCTCAGCTCCCCATGGTCAATAGTTGTCAGCTAAGGACTCAGTGAATTCAACTCCCCAAGTCTTTGTTAGTTAACACCCACGTCCTGTGCGTCTGCAGCCCTTCTATTGACCTCTCCGTTACCCAGTACTTCACCACCTCGACAGCCCCGTGATTTTCTGAGCCCCATGCATGTCCGCCTCCAGCTGAACTTGGGTTCTGGCTGGTGGTCAGTGGCCTGGATCTGCCCCACCCCCCACAGGTGGGAGGACCGTCCTGACTTCCTGACTGTGGAGCAGCGCATGCGGACCTACTACTACAGCTTGGCGAGCAAGGCTGAGGGCCCCCCAGAGTGTGGGAAGGGGGTGGAGGCTGCCAGTGCCTGAGCACCAGCCTGCCCAGGGCCTCAGGCCCCTGTGCCCAGCTTCTGCTCTGTGCCTGCAGCCCCAGCCCAGGACCTCCTGTCTGGCTGGGCCAGCCCGGTTCCTCTGCCCCGCAGCTGGGCTGTGAAGGGGGTAGCTGAGGCCTCAGGCCCACACCGGTCTAGCATCCCCTACCTGGTTGCCCGTCCTTTCTGGCTGGGGGAGGAGGGAAGCCCTGGGGTGGGGGTGAGATTGTGTAGCCTGATCCTGGGCTGATATGTACTGAGGGGCCCTGAGCTGAGGGGTGCTTACAACAAGGATCCTCCTTCCTTGGGGCCCTGAAGGGGAAGACTGGGAGTCTTTGGGTGGCAAGACCTCAACCATTGGAATAAATTCAGCCTCTTGCTTGAGATTCCTCCTTTTTTTGGGTGAGGGTGGGACCAGGAAAGGGGGCCACAGGAAGTGCTTGAAAACAACTTTTCTTATTTGCGGCTCGCTTTCCCACTTCTCTGCCCTGGGAACATCATTAAAGTGAGGGACTATTGGGGAAACCAAGGCAGGTGAGTGTGGGGTGCTGAGGGGCGATGTGCACAGCTAGGCCTCTGCTTCCCTACTTTTGTGAGTGCATGAAAGCATCACCTGGAGAGACTTTAACACACGCTGACCCTTCTGTGCCCAAGTGCACGTGCGCGCACACACACACACACGACTCAGCATTGTTACATATTAAAGTGCCCCCAGGTGATTCTACCACCCAGCGTCCGGCTCGGCTGTCCAGCCTTTCTTCCTGGGCCAGTCATAGCTGGAGTTTTCATCACCAGGTGTCCCAAGTGTCACCTCAGTCCCACTCGGAAGACCAGTCCCTAAGCTCTTGTTGCCTCAGTTTCCCCACATGGAAAACTGGGATGTTGGAGCACAGAATCCAACAGGCTTGAAATGGAGCCAGGTGCCTGTGTTTTCCTCCCACCCCGAACTAGCTCCCCTTCCTGAGCTGCGATTGGGCCCCGTCCCAGTTCCCAGCCTCATTCTCTTGGCTGGGCCCCCACAGTGATTGGCTCAAGGGCGGCCCAAGACCCACTCAGAGCCCAGGAAAGGCAAGGAGATTCTCTGTGGCTTCTGGGAAGGCGGTTTTCTTATTTGTGGAGATCTGGGCTGCCTGTGGCTGTTTGTGGAGTTATAGGGGAGGGCTGGGGGCTCCAGCCGTTGTGCCGAGTGGGAGTATAAGGTCCAGATGGGTGACATCCAGAGAAGAGACCCCCGAGCCTTCGTGACCTGTGAGTACATTATCAAAACCATGAAACTGATGTTGAGATGTTTAACTTAGGTGCAGATGTTGCTGTGATCTCACCATTTACTGTTGAATTTATAAATACTTGATACATAAGTTTCATGTAAGCATATTCTGTAATGAACTTTGTAGTCTACATGGAGGTAAATTCAGAGGACCCCAGCTATACAGTCAGCTCAGATACGAAGGCACTGCTATGTGCATGCACTTGGAAAGTAAGTTTGTAAAGGTCTGGAAGTTTCTGAGGGTTTCCAAGCGCTGCCAGACATTATCTTCCTGCATTTAGAGTTGATACAGGGAGAGCAGAGATCCGACAGTTAAAGACACAAACTCTCGAATTACTCCCATTTTTGACATTTAAAGTGTAAACCAGGGAAGCCTTGCAAACCATGAGATATAATAGCTTTAGTTGGAAAATGCATATTAGTTCCTACGTGAACCATATCACTGAATTTGGATAACACCAATAAAATGCAAACACTGTTTTTAAAGTGTTTTTAGACTAATGAACAAATCAAGAAAAAAATCACATCAAGCCTGGCTGGTGTGGCTCAGTTGCTTGAGTGTCCTCCCATGCACCAAGAGGTCGCAGGTTTGACTCCTGGTCAGGGCACATGCCTGGGTTGGGGGCTCAACCCCCCAGTAGGGGGGTGCAGGAGGCATGGGATCGATGACTCATCATTGATGTTCCTATCTCTCTCTCCCTCTCCCTTCCTCTCTTTCTAAAAAAATCAATAAAAACATTAAAAAAAAATTACATCACTAGTACAATTTCATGGCTTCCCACATTCTGTTTGCAGACACTTCAGTTTTATTAAATTCACTTGTTATGGGACAATTCACATTATTACATAAAGTATTACATCATAAGAGAACTAAATTTTCACTGTCTGCATTTCTTTTATAGGCACCATTAATTGTTTTGTTTTATTATTGCTGAAATTACTTTATGGAAGGGGGTGTTAAAAGTGATCAGCTCTGGGTGTCAAATTCCCTGGGGACGCTAAGTGTGCGCCCAGTAAATGTTTGTTGACCCGATGAAGGAGGGTGCGTTTCCACAGAGCTACCACCAGGTGCCGCTGTGCCCCAAGCCAAGGTCGCCCAGTTCCTCCCTTTGGGCCTGGCCTCTGGCCCTGCTTCTGGGCGTCTCTTCTGCCTGGAGCGCGTCCCCAGGCTCCTCCCTGCCCTTCAGGCCCCCACTCCTGTCCCCTGTAATCCGTTCACCCCAGAACCACTTTCAGGGTCTTTCCTACCAGCAGTTTTGAACTTCTTCCAGGATTCCCCAATCATATCACCCCCTCCCCACGCCCCCGCTGTGTTCAGCACCAGGTCTTCTTAACATGAATTGAGTGACAATCCGAGGCTATGTGCACCTCTGAAAAGGCCCTATTAGCTTCAGGCCTTACACATCCGTTAGCTGGGGGTCAGGGGTGCGGTGAGGCCGCCCTGGGCGGCGCTTGTGAGCTCAGGAGACAGTGCCTGGGAGACCAGAGGGATCTGCTGTTGAGGGGCTCTTGGGGTAGCTGTTTCTGGGCTCTGGCTGTGGAGGAGGGTTGGGCTGGTGCCGGGGAGTCCAGTGTCGTGGGGGTTCCCACTGTTGAGGGAACCTGTTGTAAAGATCTTAGGGGAGCTGTGCTGTGACCGAGCCTGTGCAGGCTCCTCCCGTTGGCTGGGGTGCCAGTGGTTCCCAGGCTGGGCCACTGAGGCCAGTGGTTGGCTGTGGGGGTTCTTTGCTGCAGGGCCCTGCTGCTCCAGGGTTTGGGGTGGCTCCTGGGGAGTCCAGCTGCTGAGCATGATGCAGGTGATTAGCTTATACAGGCCTTGGGCTTGTCAACGTAAGAAACATTCAAACCTGTGAAGCATTTTTGTGAGTTTATTTGAGCCAAACTGTTGACAAATGCTGGGAAGCAGAATCTCAACGGACTGAGGTAATGCTCGAGAATGGCAGCTTTGCACCTGGTTTTTTGCATTGCAGTCAAAAGGGGGACATAAGGCAGACAGCGCTGGGCTGCCGCCCCTGCCGGCCCCTTGGGCCTCAGCGAGGCTGGGTGATGCTCCAGAATGGGAGACGGGCCAGTTTGGGAGCAGACTGGATCTGGCTTCATTCACTGTTATTTGTTAACGACAGAAGCCAACTAGGCACAATTTACTTTGACGCTTCATGCCTTATGTGGGAAGGACAGCAATTCCAGGGGAAAGCTGCCCTTGTGGAGAAGTTGTCTAGCCTTCCGTTCCAGCAAATCCAGCACAGCATCCCGGCACAGGGCCATGAGCCCACGCCAGACAACTGCATCATCAGCATGGTTGTGGGCCAGCTTAAGGCTGCTGAAGACCCCACTGTGGGCTCCACCAGGTGTTCCAGTTAAGGAACATCAGTGCCGCTTGGGTTTGCACCGAGGACACGTTCACGCTTGCCCTGTGCAGCTTCGGCTGGCCTCCTCCCAGCCAGGCACTCGTGCTGTTTCCTCCGCGCTCTTCCCGATACTATTCCCATTCCTCCAGATGCTGCAAATAGCAACACAGATGAGCAGGGCCTTGCACGTGATGTTTGGATGTTAGACTAGTTACATCTGACAGGAGAAGTTTGTGTTGTACCAGCGCACACCTTGGAGAGACTTAAGTAATGCAAAAGGTTGTCTTTTTTTTTTTTTTTAAATCTACTGACAAGTTGCTCTAGTAACGCAAGAAGTGAAGGAGAAAGCAGCTGCCTCACCCAGATATTGATTTGTTCAGATGTTTCAATGCTTCATGATACAATAAAACCACAAAAATTTTCTTAACAAAAAGAAAAAGAGGAACATAAGTTTACATGAAACCCACTGGTGATAGATCAGGGAGGCGGGAGAAGGCAAAGCAGGGAAACCTCTGAGACTGGATAAAAATAAAATGATCGACACATACTTTTATTTAGGTGGGCACATGATAGTTAATAGCCAACAATTAACTCAGTAACAATGAGGGGATTTGCAGAGCAGTGCCTGTGCTTTGAGGGGTCCAGAAAAAGGAAAATTACTTTGACATTCCAACGATATATTATCGTAGATGCAAAAAGGCAATCGGTAGACCTTTAAGGTAAAGATTGACCTTTGTCAGGGAAGATATCAGCGTAGGACATGACTCCCCACCATAAACTGACTTTTAGTTTAAAAAGTTTTCATTTCAGGCCACCCTTTGGGGTTACTTTAGGTCTCCGAGTTTGCAAGGCTGCCACCCAGGCCCTCCCTGAGCTGTCAGGTTAGCACGCGGCCCCTCTCGTCCGCAGGCTGTTGTCTGCTGCCCCCTGGGTGCTGTGCAGCCTGTCTTGGGGTACAGCAGTGAATGAAGATCAGCTCTGCTCATCTTTCCTTCTTTCTGTGTTTCTTGTTCTCTGTGTTTTGCAACCTGTCCATCTTTCCCCGTTTCCACGGGGCTCTCTCTGTGACCAGATGAGACCGGGACAGAGGGCGTCTATCCCTGTAAGGCCTCAGGTGTGTGGGTTCTTCACTTTGTGCAGGAAGTAATTCAAGACACGAGTCCAGGTGATTTTTGAGAGTGCGTTTATTAAAGCTGGGGACAGTGAAACAAAGGAAGGGCTTAGGACGGAGGAAGTAAGGTCACAGCAATAGGAGTGAGCGCAGGTGGGGCTGCTTGGGCCCTTTGAAAAGGGGGGGAAGAGGAGGGCCCTGGGAGCTCGGGAGAAAGAAAGCACTCGCCTGAGGGAAGAGAGGTGCGGAGCGCTCGGGGGAGAGTGCACAAGGTCCTTTGTCCGGAGGTTTTTACGTTTTCTAAAGGTGGGGAATTTTAGGGGAGGTGCCGGGAGAGGATGTCTACAGAATATTCGTCAGCTTTCCAGCTGTGTCCTTTATTATGCTGATGCATCAAGTTGCGCCTATAGAGGGATCGGGTCATTCTCCGGTCAGCTTTACCTCTATCTCGGATTTGTCTGGCTCCAGTTGTTTTTTTGTTGTTATTTTGTTGTTAATTCCCCTGACTTCATCCCTATGGCTGTCACTAATTGGGTCCCTGTTGTGTAACTCCCTGACTCCCCGATTTAAGCTGCTCTCTGGTTGGGGAGGAGAGATGTAAACCATC